GTGGAAACTACAGAACAATCTCACTGATTTCACGTGCAAGCAAGATTTTACTGAAGATTATCCAAAAACGACTGGAACAGCACATTGTATATACATCATGATTTAAGATTTAAGAATGGTTTTCTTTTCTTTTTTTTTTTTAAATTTTATTATTTTTGTGTGTGTGTACCGTCAAATCAGATCTGACAGGTACAGGAGGAGATGGCCCCTCCTTCACCGGCAGAGCATCTGGTGGATTCGAACCCTGTACCTCTGGAATTGTAGTTGCAGCTTCTTGCCACTAGGCCACCAGAGCTCCCCTAAGAATGGTTTTCTTCACAGTTCTTTTCTTTTTGCCTATCTATTTAATCTTACTTTAAAGAAATAATTCAAGAAGTTCGAATATATGATGGGGAAAATTGCCTTCGGGATTAAAGGAAGGCTTAACAACATCCTGCATAATAGAAATAATACAGCTTTGCATGCAGAAAGTGAAGAATTACACCTCAACACGAAGAAAACAAAGATCTTCACAACTGAATCAATAGACAGCATCATGACGTATGGAGAAGACATTGAAAGTTGTTAAAGATTTCATTTCACTTGGGCCCACAATCTGTACCCATAATCAGACAATCAAGAACTCCCTAGGTATGTTGCATGGAGTAAATTTGCTGTCTAGGCTCTGCTGAGAGTGCAGAGGAGCCAGGGTAGCAATTTCAAGACTAAGACATGTCTGACCCAAGCCATGGTATTTTCACTTGTTTTGTATGCATGTGAAAGTTGGACGGTGAATAAGAAGACCAAAGAAAAATCATACCTTTTAAATTGTGGTGTTGACAAGGAGTATTGAATATGTCATAGATTCTCTTAGAGGCAACGATGATATTACTTTCCCTCATATACTTTGAGGGATAAGTCCTTGGAAGAAGATGTTATGTTGGTAAAAGTAGATTTTGAGAGTCTGGGTTACATCAAGATGGATTAGTGTACTACCTGCAGCCAGGTACTTGGATATGGCAGAGGTCATAAGGATGGTGCAGGGTAGGGCAGGGTTCATCTCTGTTGTTCATAGGTCAGCTACGATTTGTAGTCAACTTGGGGACACTCAGTTAAGAATGTTTAAGACATAATCCTATATTGACTAGTCATTGTATCAGTTTAAATAACAGTTAAAGAGCATACTCATTAGCAAAAGGGTTTTTCTTCCTAAAGAATCAAAATAAAATAGATGTGTTGATGTTTCTCAGAAAAGACTATAGACATTACTATTTGTTGATTAGGTTTTCTGTCTATGTCTGAAGTGTTTGTTTAACAGTGGAAGAAGCTACAGACAGTGTGACTAGAGCACCTTAAGTTTTCTCTAGAGAAACTATGTTATTAGGTCTCAGAATTACCCAAGTAAGAGTCAGCAGTGAAGAGTAAATAGGAAAGAAGAATGCAGTGAGAGGATCCATTTGATTTTCTATCACTGCAGTTACTGAGTGTAATTTGTTGTTGTTAGGTACCAGTGAGTTGAGTACGATTCACAGCAACCCTGTCAACAACACAGTGCAATTTGCAGCTTCTGGAAACCCAGTGGAGGGTCACCTGTACCTTGGTTCCAACTTGACAGTCCATAACAACAGCAATGTCAGTGTAGCAGTCTTTATCTCTGACTTAACATGTCAGGAACGAATTATCATTTATGGCAATACTGATGAGTGAAGTAATTGGGTAACATTTTATATGAAGAAGTGCCTTCAGAGTTCTTACAGTATTTTTTAAACAAAAAGTTTACATCATACTTATTTGTTCAAAAGATGATAGACACAGTCACTCATTTGTGAATGTAACTTAGTACTGAGGTGAATTCACACTCTGCCTCAGAATCCTGGACACTGTTCTCAGTCAGGCTTAACCATCTGTCTTGTTGCATAAAACAGATGAAACCTGTATATCAGTGTTGGGTTCAGCTAAATGTTGCCTAAGTTTACTTTGTGTCCTTGTGAAAATTAACATGCTTTTCCAAATGAGTTAATTTAGTAATGCAAAAGTAAGTGATCGTAAATGAAAAAAAAATGAGTGGAAGGAACTATAGATAGCTATATTTCAGTCCGTCTGTGCACTCAGGTTCTGGACAGGAACTGTGAAATGTATGGGGACGCAAAGAGTATAGTAAAAGGAAAGTAAGAATGTTATTTTCTTTTCTAGAGTAAAATAGTAAGAGTATTAAACTTGTGGCAGAAGAATAATGTATTTAAGAGTGAGATTATTCAGCCTCTCCTGGACATGGCAGCAGGGATTCCGCCTCCAGTTGTCACCCCTGTTTTGACCAGCACTACTGCTGCCATGAGCAATACCCCAGGTATGGTGCTTTGGTTAGAGATTGTTTGATGACTATCTTAGTCACACTTTTTCATTGTATAGGAATAATTGCCTACCACTACGTAATTCAAAGGAAATACTTTGAAAGGAAAACTAAAATTGGATATTATAATTGTGAGTGATTTTCTCCTAAAATTTAGAAATATCTTTATTTTTTAATTCATTAAATTGGAAGCAAATATGAATTTTGAAAATGTAATTTGTCAGTAATATTGTTTTTGATTTAGACTATCTGTAATCACCTCAGCTTGCTTAGTATTCACCTAGTAGAAATTTATTATTTTAAAGAAACCCTTAAAAATTGTTTAGTGTTACTAAAAAGGCTTTAATAGAAATCTCAAAATCTTTTTTCAAGTGTTTGACTATTATTTAAAATGATTTATTATAGTCTTAAGGATTATATTTGATAACACTTTGATGTATATTTAGGTTTTGCTACCTATATAAAATACATTTTGAACAAAAATTCTATTTCATATTTTACAATTTTAGACAGAACATTATAATTTCTCATTGAATTTTCTTCAGTACGGAGATTTTAAATGAGTTAATATTGTAAACTTCTTTAAAATAGGACCTTAGTTAATTGAGGAAGTATGTTAAAGTAGATACACTTTTGCAGAACTAGTCTAATTTTGTTAAGAATCTAAATGATATAATGAGAATAAAGAAAAAAAGGTGATGCATGTTTGTAGGTGTTTGTTCAAACTGGTACAACAAATCTCTAATTTTTTCTAAGCCTTCCTTAGTTATATGCTGATTTTGTAATTCTGGGGATTGGGGTATTTTTGTCCAAAGGAACTCCAGTGACACCTGTTACTCCAGCCAACGTGGTCCAGGGTTTACCTGATCCCTGGGTATCTCAGATAACAAACACAGATACTCTTGCAGCTGTGGCTCAGATCCTACAAAGTCCTCAAGGTCAACAGGTGAGTGACTTTTCTGTTACGTACAGCATGATTTACAGTTCCGTTGATAACATAGTATTTGATGATCTGTTGCTTCATATGGACCACCAAGAGAGTACGTATTTTTTTTAATTGTAGAAAAATGAGGTCATACTTTACACATACACACACTCACTCTACATAATACTTAATTTTTTTCCATTTAGTTACTGCATTATGAAAGCATTTATGCCAAAAGGATTATTTTATAGGAAATAGTATATTCTACAGCAGTATGGTAATCTGTGCATACTTTATGCCAACAGTGGAGATGCTTTTGTTACTTTGGTAACAAGATACGGATAGCCTTTGTCTTGGACAAGATCTATCTGGGAGCAGACAGACAGTAAATGTGTAAATAGATAAACAAGAAAACATCTTAGACAATGATATTTGACTTGAAATAGGGTAAACTTGTAATATGATGAGGTCTGTGGGAAAGAGTCAGAATTTTAGATGATGGCCAGGAGAAGAGATGGTTAAGGACGTGGCATTGGAATTGATATCTGACAAAATGGAGTTTGTCATGACAGGATATGAGAAAGCAGGGAGACTGTCAATTCTCAGAATCTAGAGTTGGGACGAAGTTGGTTTATTTTAGACATAAAGGAGCATCATGTCTAAAATATAATGAATAAAGGGGAGATAGACTGTTTTGTAAATGAATTAGAAATGTAAGAGATTAAGTCTTTAAACTATTGAGTTACCCATTTTATTTATGGCATGTTTATATTGTTAAAAACATTTCTATTTCGTAGTTAAAGCTTTGTAACCTTTTCAGCATAAGGCTTTTACATTTGGTTAGTTACTGTTGACAAACTTAGATATTTTGGGGAGGCGTTTTGCCATATTTTAGGTGAAAGTTCACACTGCGGTTTGTGTCCCACTCCACAATTTACCCACCACTTCTGTGACATTGGGGGCTATCTTTGCAGTTTGTTAGTACGCTCCAGTCTCTTCACTGTGTTTTCCAACTTCTTCTACCCTGCTCTCCCCACTTGTAAGGGAGCTCTGGTAGTGCCGCCTGTAGGGAATCGTGTTAACCAAAGGTCTTAAGTCTCTAGTAGTTTGAAGCCGCTATCAGTTCTACTCTAAAGACAGGGAACTGAGAAGAAGGCATTTCACTGGAACAGTTTGTTCAGGGAGTTGTGTGGCGAGGAGTACAGTTACTTTGCTATTTAAGAGCCAGGTGGGAAAGCATGCTGCTAAAGATAGGTTATGTACACAGGCCGCTGCAGGTAACAGATGAAGCCCCAGCCATGTAAGCAAACACTTGCATCTGTCTTCATCTCAGTGAATGCAAATACTGTCTTTCTACCGCTCAAAGTCAATACCATGGTGGTTCTGTCCTTTCTTACTCTCTTCCACTCTTCACATCCAATCTCTTTAAATTCCTTTTCCTCTAGAGTCGGTCCTGAATCTGTTCACTTTTGATCCCCTCCGTAACTAGTTCGTGCCAAAAGCATTTCTCATTGACCTTATTAGACTTTTTAGTAGCCTTTTTTCCTGCCCTTGTGCTGCTACAGCCTTTTTTTTTTAAAAAAAAATTTATTTTATTATATGTGTGTGTGTGTACCATCAGATCAGATCTGACTGGTACAGGAGGAGATAGTCCTTTTTTCTCCCGTAGAGCATCTGGTGGATTTGAATGGCTACAGCCTTTTTTGAACACCTGTAATAAATCTTTTAAAATGTCAGAGATGTGTGACATTTCTGTGTCGATTCTCCTAGGGATTCCTATCGTGCAGAGTGAAAGTGCAGATCCTTACTGTTGCTTCCCAAGACTGTCCATGTGTGGTCTCAGTTTGACCTCTTGCTCATTTTTCCAGTATGTTGTGTCACTGATTCCCAGTGGTGGTTTTGTGCTCTTGATTTGAAATTGACTGAGGCTGCAGACCCCTAATCGGGAGGAGTCTGCTCGTTTTTCTGCTGTGTCGCAGCTTGTGGACTCAAATTGCTTATCTTTGGGTTGGCAGCACAACTCTTTGATCTTTATAACCTCTCTTCACACTCATCTCACTACACTGCCCTTTTTCTGTTAAATATACCCCATACGGAGTTGTTTTTCTTACCCGGGAAGTTTGCGTTACATTTTAATATAAATAATACTTGCTGTCCAGTTCTCTTCTGCAAGCCGCATAACAGTTCTAAAGGGATTTACTTCAGGTTTGTAGCTAAACGTGATTGAAACTGAAAGGCTGATAAGCAGTTCCTCAGATTTATCTGCCTTTTTAAAAAAAAAAATTACTATTTTTTGTGTGTGTACCATCAAATCAGATCTGACTGGTACAGTAGGAGATTGCCTCTCTCCTTCTACAGCAGAGCATCTGGTGGATTTGAACAACATACTTCTGGGATCGCAGTGCAGCTTCTTGCCACTAGGCTACCAGAGAGCCCTTATCTGCTTTATCAACACGTTGTTGCAAATGACAGCAAATGTGTTTCTAAGCAGGTCGTCAATTTAAAAAGTGTGTGGCGGCGTATTAATTACCAGTTATTTCTTGGCTGATTGTAGGATTATTCACCTGTAAAATTTGCAAATCTTTGAATTTTACCTGATTTTTAGGATAATTGTTGTTAGGTGCTGTCAAGTTGAATGTGACCCTTTGAACTACAGATGCGAACCCTTTTCTCTCCCGTATACATGAACAACATAAATATAAATGAACTCATGTCCTTTCTTGTACTATCCTCACACTTCTTTTTAAGATAATGGAAGACTTCAGATCCTGAGAAATGGCTATTTTCCTCTGAAGTTGACATTTCGTTTTAAAAGATGATTTTCTTAATCTTAGGCTTGATCTTGCCTTCCAGAAATGTATTCTGTGGTAACGTGAAAGATGGCAAAAGCCTTTTGTAGCTGTTTCACATTATGGAATTCATTCATTGATTGTTGAATGAAGAGGTGAAAATAATGGTTCATCATCCCACCATGAGTTCTTCCTCGGTTGCCTTCTTATGACCAGTTTATTTTGATTAAAGGCTTCTAACTTTCTAAAAAATTGTTATTGTTGTTGTTTGTGGTTATGTGCCGTCAAGTTGCTTGCGTCTCATAGCGACCCTATGTACAAGAGCCCTAAACTCCGCTCTGTCCTGTGCCAATCGCACTGTCTCTGACACTTCCATCCCAATTATCCCAGTCATTGAATCAATCCACCTCATAGAGGGCCTTCCTCTCCTGCGCTGTCCCTCCACCCTCCCAAGCATGATTTCCTTCTCCAAGGACCGGTCTCTCCTCACAACATGTCCAAAGTATGTTAGACGGAGCCTCAGAATCCTTGCCTCCAAGGAGCCATCCGGTTTAACCCTTTCCAGGACAAATCTGTTTGTTTTCCTAGCAGTCCATGGTATTCTCAATACTCTTCTCCAACACCATAGCTCAAAGGCATCATTTCTCCTTCGATCCTCCTTGGTCATTGTCCAACTCTCTGATGCATAACAAGTGATTGCGAAGACCATGGCCTGTATCAGATGCACCTTCGTCTCCAGAGAGACACCATTGCTCTTCAGTACTTGGAGAGGTCCCTAACAGCTGACTTTCCCAGGGCAATGCGCCTTTTAATTTCCTGGCTGCTGGTGCCAAGACTGTTGACTGTGGAGCCAAACAAACTAAAGCTGTGTACAATCTCAATCTCTTCACCATCCATCCTGATGCTGCTAATTGGTCCAGTGGCGAGAATCTTTGTCTTCTTGACATTGAGCCTCAATCCATATTGGAGGCTGCAGTCCTTGACCCTCTACAGCAGGTGCTTCAGATCCTTTTCATTTTCAGCAAGCAGGGTTGTGTCATCTGCATAACACAGATTGTTGATAAATCGTCCACCAATCTTGACCCCACATTTCTCCTCATAGAGCCCAGCCTCCCGGATAATCTGTTCTGCATATAGGTTGAAAAGGTATGGAGACAGGATGCATCCCTGGCGTACACCCTTCCTAATTTTGAACCATCCAGTGTTCCCTTGCTCTCTTCTGACGACTGCCTCCTGGTCCAAGTATAGGTTTCGCATTAGAATGATCAAGTGTTCTGGGATTCCCATTCTTCTCAGAGTCAGCCATAGTTTGTTATGATCCACACAGTCAAATGCCTTTGCATAGTCAATGAAACACAGATAGACATTCCTCTGGTATTCTCTGCTTTCAGCCAAGATCCATCTAACATCAGCTACAATATCCCTAGTACCACGACCCCTTCTAAACCCAGCCTGGACTTCTGGTAATTCTCTGCTGATGTGCTGTTCCAGTCGTTTTTGGTTAATCTTCAGTAAAATCTTGCTTGCATGTGAAATCAGTGAGATTGTTCTATAGTTTCCACACTCTGTTGGGTCACCTGTTTTTGGGATAGGAACAAATATAGATCTCTTCCAGTCAGTTGGCCAAGTGGTCGTTCTCCAGATTTCTTGGCACAACTTGGTGAGCACGTCCAGGGCAGCATCTGTTAGCTGAAATATGTCAATTGGTATACCATCTATTCCTGGAGCCTTATTTTTTGCCATTTCCTTCAAAGCAGCCTGAACTTCTTCTTTCATCACCATAGGCTGTTGCTCATATGTTGTTTCATGAAATTCTTCTGTGTCTTCCAGTTCCTTTCGATACAGTGACTCAGTATATTCCTTCCATCTTCTTTTAATACTTCTGGGATCATTTAACATTCTGCCGAAAGCATCCTTGATTATAGCAACTCAAGGTTTGAGTTTGTTCTTCAGTTCCTTGAGCTTAAGATATGCTGAGCGAGTTCGGCCCTTTTGATTTTCTGACTCCAACTCCTTGCACATTTCATTGTAATATTTTACTTTGTCATCCCTTGCTGCCTTTTGAAATCTTCTATACTCTAAAAAATTACAAGCCCATTGAAAACTGTGTTGTGTGGGTTTGCTTCCACTGACCAATTTTTTTTCTTAGTTGATGTGAATTTTTTCCTTGTTCACCGAAGACCGTAGAATGGCATTTTATCGACTGGAAAATTGTAGATAGATATGCCTATTGATCAGACCCAGGATCTCCTTGGTGATAATTTTGTTCTTTCCTCCAGCTTCAGCAGTTAATACAGACTCTACAGATCCAACAGCAGAAGCCACAGCCTTCCATTCTGCAGGCCCTGGATGCTGGCCTTGTTGTTCAGCTGCAGGCTCTCACAGCACAGCTTACAGCTGCAGCTGCGGCTGCCAACACCCTGAATCCCCTGGAGCAGGGGGTCTCCTTTAACAAGGTAGAGCCAGTTCTCCATGAAGAGTAGAAGTTCAGTATTTTATGTACTAACATACATAGATGGTAATTTTTTAAATGACCTAAACTCATTACCCTCAAGTCATGGCCACCTCACAACTGTTACAATTCCACTGTATTACATACATAAAAACAAACCCAACCCTTTGCTGCCTGTCCACTCTGACATAGAGCGACCCTAGAGGAGAGGACCAGCTGTCTGATGTTTACAGGACAGAGGGCCTTGGAGGTTTGTTTGCTCAGTCTCTCTTTTCACTTGGCAGTTTTAAACCCCTGAAACTTCATGCCACCAGAGCCTATACTGACATTCTTCTTTTTTTTTTTTTTTAAGTATTTTTTTTATACTGACATTCTGAATTGAAAGACTGAAAAGAATAAGGAATTTTTAAATTATATTTGAAACTTTGAAATATTTGCTCTTGAGTAAAAGGTAACTTGTTAGTAAAATGAAGCTCACCCCTCCAGCAAATGGTTATATTTAAACGATCTAATCTCCCCCCCCCACACTATATTAGTTATAGTGTTTAAGCATGCTAAAATATAATTGTGGGGTGGCATATCAATTGACGTATTTCTTTTTTTAATTGAAATTTAAATGAAAGTTTATAGACTTTGGATTTACATTCATTCATTGTTGCACATTTTCCTCCCTGCCTTCCCCTCCCCCCAGCTGGTTTTGCTCTTAGAAAGGTTAAAAAAAACAACCACCTAAACCAAAAAACAAACTTTCTTATACAATCTCCCCCCCCCCCCCCCCTCCCTCCCCCGTCCACTCCCCCATGAAGCTCTCATTCTGGACTCTTTAAAATAATACTTAATTATATATTCCTTTCAAACAGTTCTCTCCCTCATCTGTTTCTATGCAGTATATATAATTTAAACCCTCTCTTCTTAGATTCCCTCTAATCCCAAAGTCAGTCCTGTTTTACAAGTGTCACTATGCAGTGTTTGTCCCTTTGTGATTGAGATATTTCACTCAGCATAATATCCTCCAGGGTCACCCATTTTGTATAATATTTCATGAGTTTCTTCTTTTTCAATGCAGTGTAGTATTCCATTGTGTGAATATACGACAGCTTCTCTATCCATTCGTTTGTTGATGGGCATTTGGGTTGTTTTCAACTTTTTGCTATTGTCAACAAAGCCTCAGTGAACATAGGTGTGTATATATCTGCTTGGGTGGCAGTTACGGTTTCTTGAGACTATATTTCCAGTAGTGGAATTGCTGGGTCAAATGGTGTTTCTATTTCCAACTTTTTGAGGAAGCACCATACTGCCTTCCATAGTGGTTGCCCCGTTTTACACTCCAGCCAGCAGAGAATAAGAGTTACAATTCTCCACAACCTTGCCAGCATTTGTTGTTTGTTGTTTTGTCAAACTTGGCTAATCTTATTGGGGTAAGATGATATCTCATAGTTGTTTTTAAAATGTAATTGTGTAACACATGGAAGTTTAAAGACCAATTTCTCAGAATTGCTAGTTCTATAATATTCCAATAACTGGAGGCTTTGCTAGGGTAATTGTCTTAATTTAAAATCTTGTAGGAATGGTTTACTGAGTACATGTCTAAGTAGTCTTGGTTAGTTACAGTGATTCTATTTCTTAAAAGTTTTATTTACATTTTCTTATTTATACTACTGCTGTTTGCATAAGAAAATAAATCCCAGTCTACTAGATTATTATTTGAACTTTCTTAACTTCTTTATTCCATGTCCAAGTTAATGTGATGCTAAATAATTTGGTCACATAAAAAGCCTGAACTGAGCATTCAGCGATGAAGTAGTCATCTTAGAAGAGAGTTCTGGAAGAATTGCGTCTGTTGCTCATGTTCACAGACATTTTAACAAGTGACATAATGTTGGACAAGCTGTGTAATCCTTTTATGCTTTGATCTCTGTCCTATAAAATTAGAACAATATTATTTATATTGCTTATCCTAACAGTGAAATGTTGTCTGTTGAAGTGTGTTAAAAAAGAGTAAAAATCCACTCAAAATATTTTATTCTATCCTAGTGTAATAGAAATTGTTTACAATGTAAGTGAGAAAAATTTAATGGTAATTCAGTGACAGTCGAATTCACATTTGCAGCTTATGCTTGTGTGACATGCTTTTTCTGTTTTCTCCTAGAAGTTGATGGATAGGTTTGATTTTGGAGAAGATTCTGAGCATAGTGAAGAACCCAAAAAGGAAATGTCAACTTCTCAACTGTAAGAATTTTTTTTTTGTATTGCTTATCAAGAAACAGATTGGGTTGGACTTTACTATTTGAGCTGCTAATTTTAATTTGAATAAGTGGGAGCTTATTGTTTGAGATTGAATGTTACAGAAGGTGACACCATTGCTACATTATCTCTGTCTATTTAGGATTATGGTTCTTCCACAGATCTCTGCAGTTATTTGGCATATATCAAAGTTCCCTATAGGAAATTGATTTATTAATAAGTTTAGTGATTTTTTTTTTATCTTTTATCATAAGACTATAAGTTATTTAGTTGTAAGAATATGTGAAATAGGAGACAAGAACTCTCCTTCTGGTACTAAGAGCCTCCAGGAGGTATATGAAACTCAGGTACACCAAACTAAACTGAAAAAAAGATGAGACTATTGTGATTTTGTTTAACTGAAGGATTTTTGTTTGTAACAGAATGTGCTTTATTTGATACTGAGTTTTTCTTTAAAATATTTTCACTTTTCTTTTCGTTTTAGTCCTCATGTTTCAGAGTCTGTGAACAATTCGATTTTTCATCAAATAGCTGAACAACTACAACAACAAAACCTGGAACATCTTAGACAGCAGCTCCTGGAACAGCAACAGCCTCAAAAGGTTCACAACCCCCTCCTTGTGGTCTTTAGAGTTATTGCATCCTACAATCTCTAATTAAGTGTTTACATTTTTTGTCTTAGTGTTGTCTAATATGCTTTCATCACCTGCTTGGTTTCCTCTCTAAAGTATAGTGATAATAACCCTTAATGATCTATCAGTAGATAGGTAAGCCTTTCTCAGCGCCCTTACAGTACTTCCCTCTCAGTTCTGTTGGCCTAGTGGGTAGAGAGCTGCGCTATCAATCCAGAGACACACATCTTGAATCCACCAGCTGGTCTGTGAGGGGAGGATGGAAAGTCTGTTCTTGGGAGATTTACTGCCCCTGAAAACCAGCTGGAGGGTCAGCTAGGAGTTAGTTCCACTTGACAGCACATAACAGCATAACGTGACATGGTTTGGAAACTTACGAGGAGTCTGTTGAGAGCATTTTAAAATCCCCTTTAGCACACTGAGTGTGCAGAGCAGAAAGGACGGGTGATGTTACACCGTTACCCCTTGGAACATCAGGTGCTTTTCTCCTCATTTGATTCCCTATCAAGTAAAGTAGTAATGACTTTCCTTTTGATGATTATGATTATTTATTTTGTTGCCTTTAAATAAATGATGCCATGTGACAAAAGCTTTATTAGGCACTTTACAGCCATATGTTACTCAGAAGAGGTAAGCATATGATGCTGATTTTACATTAAAACCAGTTAACTTCATGACTTTAAGCATGCCAGTGTCTGCAGCTGGTACTCTCTCAGTTTGAAGATAATGTTATTTTAGGTATAGCTAGGTATTTTAAAACACTTTGAAGTAAAATCTACAGATTTTAAGAGTGACAAAATGAAAAATTTTATACCTTAGCATCTGTGACATACAGTAAATTATAAAGGGAGGATGTGGGCATCACAGTGCCCATTTCTGTGCTGTAGGAGAAATCTTATAGATGTAAACAACTTAGATTGTTAGGAACTCTCACCAACTTTTCCTAATACTAATATTCTTTTCTTTACATTTTCTTAAGTCTGGGTTCTCTATATAGAGATGCAAAACCAGTGAGTCCCACACATACGTGCATACACACACACACAACACACACACACACAGAGATTGAGATTGATTTCTCTCAAGAAAATGGCCTATGTGATTTTAATAGCTAGTTAGCCCCAAGTGTGTGGGTCAAAGGTCATGTTACAGTGTCCTGACTCCCATGACTCCAGGAACCCATGACTCCTGTGCCACCTTCAGGATCTCTGACATGCTCAAGCCTGTGCTTGCAGCCACAGTGTGAACGAGGACAGCAACGAACAGTCAGTCACCACTTGAGTGCCCTTAGTTCTCTTGACAGTTTTTGTATGTGTTGGTTGTTTTTTAACTGTGACTCCGGACAGTATCCAAAGAGGAGTCCTTCAGTCTCCTCTCTGGGTTTTATGGAGACTTCACTTTACCCTTCTGTGATAGCCTTTTAAATACTGCACCCCCCTTAAAGGGCACAAGAAGGGTATTTGGATATATTTTTGAATCCTGTGAATAATTTACTGAAGTCAGACTGAAAAGATAGACACACTATTATTATGACTTTGCCAGCACCACAGCTCCAAGACATCAGTTCTTATCTCATTTTTTATTTATTTTCCATTCTTAGATGCTTAGCAAGTGGTCAGGAAGACCACGGCCTGGTGACCTGTATTATATACTTTTCATGAATTAGTCTTTTTTTTTGTTTAAATATATGTATATATTATTTTTAGTGTGTGTATCATCAAATTGGATCTGACAGGAGATTGCCCCTGCTTCTCCAGCAGAGCATCTGGTGGATTTGAACCGCCTTGCCTCATATTAGTCATTTTTTTAATGAATCTTTGAAGTTTTATATTTTCCATAGCTAAAAATTTTTTGAGACCCTATTGAGTTTTATACTAATTCTTTAGTATTTTACTTTCCTTATTCCTTTTTTATGGAAGTGTTCCATGTTTGTAAATAAACTTGGAGTTTATATAAAAGTGAAATTTTATGCCATGAAAGAAGTAACATGTTATTTATTTATAGATTTGTCTTATTTTTTAAAAAAATAATATACTGTTTCCTGGGTGACAATTAAAACACAAACAAGAATTTTATATAAATTTTGTTTTAAAAAATTATTTGTGAATGCTTGTGTATTTATTCACTTTGTTTAGGCAACACCTCAGGATAGTCAAGAGGGAACATTTGGATCGGAGCATTCAGCATCACCGTCACAAGGGAGCAGTCAGCAGCATTTTCTTGAACCTGAAGCCAATTTGGATGATTCCATAGACATTCAGCAACAGGTAGGTAGAGAGTATGTCCTTGGTGCCTACATTTCCAAATTCAGAAGACAAGCATTTTATCATACAGGATAGTAACATCCTTAGGGATTTTTTTCCTCCTACATTTAAGGTTCTTTTCTCTGACCACGTTATTAATACTTTATGAATATTTTTCTCATTAAATGTATTGTTAATAGGTGTTGAATTTCAGATTGGCTATTTATTTTCTTTTGCCATTTAAGGATATGGACATAGATGAAGTTCAGGAAGTGGTAGAAGAGGAATCCGTCTTTGAGCAAGAAGCAAAAAAAGTGGCTGTTCGTTCCAGATCTAGAACACGCTCAAGATCCCGTTCAAGGTTCTGCAATTACATTTCATAATTAATTGTGCGCTTGCGCGTCTGTGTGTGTGAGAGAGAAAGAACCTTCAAAATGGTATCTATATTTCAAGATTAAGGCAAATATGGTTTTTCTTGGGACAGCATCTTTTTTGTATCTTTCAAATAAAGAAAATTGAGAATTTAAAAACCAGAATAATTTTATTACTTTATTTGGTTACCTCTGTATTTATGTGACTACAAAGAGTAGCTCTCAGATCATGAAGCTGGGATCTTTTTTTTTTTAACTCCAGACTTTGTTGAACAATAATTGAGTACTGAGGTTAGGGTTCATTTGGCTCCGAGACTACAGTTCTCAGTCAGACAGTAGAGGAGCAAGGTTAGAAAGTCACGTTCTTTCTCAGTCAGTTTGTTGTCATCATCATAAAAATGGTCAGTAAGGAAAAGAAGAAACAGCACTTGAGTACACTCTTCATATTTTGAAGTCAAACACCGTAACGTTTAGATGTGGGGCACTAGTACGTGGATTTGCATGAGGAGCACCTTGGAGCTGGGGGAGGGGGTGGATAGCTTCCACATTATTATAATGTGGTATCTCTTATTTCCTCCATTCTTCCTTGGTGTTTTGAGTTTCATAAAGACACATCTTTGAAAAGACACTGTGAAGCAGTGTACCCTTCTTCTCCCCTTCTGTGTTTAGTTATGAGTGATCACCTGGATTGAGTAAAAAGTGTTGCCTACAGATGTCATACTCCTGTGGCCGGGGGGTACACAGAATAGTAAATATGCATGTTTGTTACAGAAATGTACTGGGAAAATGTTTTCAGAGGGAGGCTAAATAGATGCATATTTGTTTTGTATTTCTTCAACTAGAAGTGAGAGATTTGATGGAAGGGTATCATTTTAGTAGAAATCTGTTAGTAAGTGTGTGTATATTTTTGCCAGGTCACCAAGAAAACGGAGGTCTAGGTCGCGGTCTGGGTCTCGGAAGCGCAAACACAGAAAGCGATCCCGCTCCCGCTCGAGAGAGAGAAAGCGGAAGTCATCACGTTCATACTCCAGTGAGCGAAGAGCCAGAGAGCGGGAGAAGGAGCGACAGAAAAAGGGACTGCCTGCAGTTAGATCAAAGACGCTGAGTGGTGCGTAAGGAGCTTTTCCAAATACTTAACCAAATCTTAGAAAGGTACTGCTCTGCTACAAATACTTTCAAGCTTTTTCTTAGACTGGAAAGTTGAAAAATGGTTTCATAAATGAACAACTTAACCGTTTGTGTTTGCAGTTTGAGCAGAGAAGAAAAATGGAAGAACTTTTAACTGCAGGTTTTGTGAAAGTACTAAAGTTATTGAGAGTTGGTTTGTAGTAAAGTGCAAAGAAGGGAGCATGAGATTTGCCTAAGATTACTCTGGACCAGGCAGGGTCACATCCCAGGGATGACTGACTGCTGTGTAGCATGTCCTTACCCGCTGCCACCACCAGATATGTAGGGGTAATTGTGATGCAGCCACTTACATACATACTGGGTCAGCAGTACTGTTGTTGTTTGGTGCCATTGTGACCCTGTCCTGTGTCATCCTTACACCTCCAGACACTCTGGGGCCCACTGAAGCAGTCATCGTGTCAGTCCACCTGCTCGAGGGTCTTTATCTCCTTCGCCGACCCTCCGCCTTTCTGAGCATGATGCCCTTCTCCAAGGAATAGCGCCTCCTAACAACGTGCCTGAAGTATGTGAGGCGAAGCCTCATCTTTGCCTCCAAAGAGCACTCTGACTGCACCCTCTCTAAGACATCTGTTTGTTCTCCTGGCCGTCCATGGGGTGTTCAGTGCTCTTCTCCAACACTGCAGCTCAAAGACATCAATTGTTCTTCTGTCATCATTTTTCAGTACTAAATAATACCTACTTTATACACTTCTACTCTGTATATACTAATCTCTACCTCTGGTTACCTGTTGGTAAGATCCTGCACTGTCAACTCAAAGGCACATGGTTCAAGTCTACCAGCTGCTCCACGGGCAAAAAATTGAGCATTTTCCCACCATGTAATTTCCTGACTCTTAAAACCCTCTGGAAGCATAGCTATGGTTCAGTTTCAACTTGACGGCATAACAGCAACAATGAAAGTCTCTGAGCAGTTCCTCCTGCTAGGGAGGTGTTAGCTTTTACACTCTATGTACTGATTGCAAAGCTGTCATGTACAAAGATTTAAAGTCACTGAGGTCTTCTAACAGGAACTATCAATTTACAGAAGCCATATTATCTTGCTACAATCCTCTCTGATACAGGATTCAGCATAAACAATACTTGTAGTTCTACCTGTAGAAATTGGTGTTTTCCATTAAAGTTAAGGACCAAATACAAACGTTTTAGTGTCTTAGCAATAGAGAAATAATGACTATGGTCTGACTGTAAATTCTCTAGAACACCCTCATTGCAGTAGGAAGTCACTGGTCTAGTCAGAGTAGTGTCCCTTGGATTATGCATTAATCTTGTCACATTACTATTACCATTTACGTAGTTAGTGGTCAGAGAACTTAACTAGTACTGTTTTATTTTTGTATGTAGCATAATAAAAAAAGATAATTTAGAAAATGCATAAGAAAATAGAGTAAAAAGTATTCTTAGTATTTTTTTTACCTTGAAACTCTACCTTCATTTGAAGCAGTATAGTTGTAAATGTGCTCATAGTTTTACTCTGTTTAGAACAAATGGCACAGCGCTGCCTGCTACTAGAGAGAAGCGGTAATCTAGGAAGGAAGGCCTTTCATTACCAAACCAAAGACATGCAGTTCAAATCCCCCAGCTCCTCCAGCACAGGCTGGGCCATCTTCTCCTGTTTATAGCCTCTGGAGATTGGCTGTGCGGTCAGCGCAGAGGTAGTTCCAGACTCAAGGGCATGAAACAGTAAAAACAATAACAATACCCATCGTTGGTTCTTAGCATGGGTTTTAGAGCCTGAAATTGTTCATTACTAGTCCAAGGGGTATGAAATACTAGTCTTTCCACAAGAAAAGTATCTTCTCGCCCTGTGATGGACAGAAATCATCACTGATTTTTGTGGGCCATCAAAGAATGTGGTAGTGTCAAGAAGCTGTACTGCAATCCCAGAGGCGCACGGTTCAAACCCACCAGATGCTCTGCTGGAGAAGGAGGGACGATCTCCCCCTGTACCAGTCAGATCCAATTTGACAATAAACACAAAAAATTAAAATGAAGGTGGAAGAAATTTGTATAGATACTTGGAGGTTAAAAAAGGTTTACTGATATTTGTGTCTTTCCTCTTTGTTGCTGCGATCCCTATTGTCAGCTCTAAGTCTGCTTAAGGAAAAGGGGACAGAACTCAAACATGATACCTTTCAAAAGATCAACTGATGAAATTGAGATACGCTAAAAAGAAGAGTAGACTTACAGCTGTAATGGAGGAACTAGTGTTGAATTTACTCTTTCACTGTGAACAGCTAGAAAATTACTAACTGACATAAGAAAAACTCTTTGAAGAAAGTGGTTAGCTGGGCATTGTTACTGGTGTTCCTAAGAGGAAGGTTTTAGAAGCACTCTTACCTCCCTGGGTTGCACCCCTGGTGAAGAGCTTGAATATTAGAGGAAAGGTTGATGGTTTAAACTCACCTTGAGATGCATAGGAAGAAAAACCTGGTAATCTGCTTATGAAAGGTCACAGCCTTAAAATTTAACAGTTCTACTCTGTACACACGGGGTTGCCATTAGTCAGAATCTATGCAGAGCAACCAGAAAGTTATCATCCCAGCCTTTCTTTGGTGTCTCTGCATCCCAGCTTGGAATGATAACCTGCGTGGGTACAGCATTCAGGCAAACAGAAGAGGCTACTGCAGTAGATGGTGCAGAGTAATAAAACAAAGCTCTCTCCTAAATGAGAGACCCTCAGCAGTCTACTGTTTTCTGTGAGAAGTGGAGTAGATGGCCCCCAAAAATGTCCTTGTTGAAATTATTGGAACTTGCAGATAGGAATTTACAGGTATAATTCAAACTTCTGAGGTGGGACAGTTATCCAGGAGGGCCTGGGGACAGGAGTCCTTACAGAATAACCTGAATCAGAGAGTGACTGTGATGTGACAGTGGAAACAGAGAGAACTTAGGCGATGTTCCACTGTTGGCTGAGAGAATGGAGGGTTGGGCCACAGCCAGGGAACCTAAGTGTCCTCTGGAGGCTTCAGCAGTTAAGGAAACGAATTCTCCGATGGAGCCTCTCAAAGTTATGCAATCCTCTTTTTGAATTATTTTAGGCCTCTGGGATGGTAAAAGAATAAATTTGTGGTATTCTACTCTACTAATTCCCTTTTTATTCTCTAGCTTCAATACTCTGTACATAGCATTTTAATACTTTGTTTTGTGTGCTCGAGAATACCAGAAGAATGACAATTTGTGCATTATTGACTCTGCAAAGGTGTTTAACTTTGTGGATCATACAAGTTGTGGCTGACACTGAGAAGAATTGGAATTCCAGAGCACTTAACTGTGCTCTTGTGAAACCTGTGCCTGGATTAAAAAGCTGTTGTGTGAGCAATGCTGGGAAACATTGTATAGTTTATAAAATTAAGAATGGAGTCTGTCAGGGTTGTATTCTCTCTCTGTACCTATCCAGTCTGTATGCTGAGCAAATTATCAGAGAAGCTGGACTCTATGAGGAGGAGTGTGACATGAGTATTGGAGGAAGACTCATTCGTAATCTGCATTATGCAGGTGACACACCTTGCTTGCTGAAAGTGAGGATGACTTGAAACACTTGTTGCAGAAGATCAAGAAATGCAGCCTATTGGATTACATCTCAATGTCAAGAAAACAAAGATTCTTACCACTGGACTGATACGCAACATCATGGAGGATGGAGAAGAAACTGTCAACAACTTCCTCTAACTTGCATCCACAAGTAACACCCTTGATACCAGTAGTCCGGAATGTCTGCAATTGGGGACCTCTCCAAGTTATTGAGGAGTAATGATGTCAGTTTAAGGACTCGGGTGTGTCTGATTCAGGCCATTGTTTTCCTGATCACCTGCTATGCATCTAATAGCTGGACAGTGAATAGGGCTTGCAGAAGAAGAATTGATGCCTTTGAGTTGTAGTGTTGGAGAAGAGCACTAAACATCCCCATGGACTTCCAGAGAACAAACAGATAAGCCTTGGATGTGGTACAGCCAGAGTGCTCTTTGAAGGCAAGAATGATGAGGCTTGCCCTCCAAATACTTCGGGCACATTGCGAGGAGGTGCTGTTCCTTACAGAAGGGTGGAGAAGACCCTCAACCAGGTGGGATTGATGATGACTGCTGCAGTGAGCTCTGATTTGTCAGAAAGTGTGAAGACGGCACAGGATAGGACGCTGTTCACATCTGCTGTTCTAGGGTCCCTGTGAGTCGTGCTTGACTCAGTGGCACCTAACAACAGCAGTCACTACTCATTATGTAGTAATTTATCACAACCAACAAGAAACTAATGGAGGACACCTTTCAGCCGTTTGGCTCAATTTGTAAGCTGTGTATGCATAGAGTGAGTGCATGCGACAGAACGGCTTTCAGGCTTTGGATCACCACCAAGACCTGTGAGTTCTCAAACAGTTCCTAACAACTTTTTAAAAACCAACAGATCTTAGATCCGTACGGGGATTCATAGTGCTTGTGACACAAAGTTGAACAACCCCTGAGAGTGTCCAAAGCTGTGTATCTCTCCAGAAGTAGACAGACACACCTTTCTCCTGAGCAGTGCCTGGTGAATTTGCATCACTGACCTTGTGGCTACACCCAAGGGCTTTCAGTTGTTCCCTGTGTTATATTAAATGGTGGTGTTGTGACTGTGGCTTGCGGCTCATAGTGACCCTATGTACAACAGCCCTAAACTCTGCTCTGGCCTGTGCCAATCGCACTGTCTCTGATACACCCATCCTGATTACCCCAGTCACTGAAACAATTCACCTCATAGAGGGCCTTCCCCTCCTGCGCTGTCCCTCCACCCTTCCAAGCATGATGTCCCTCTCTAAGGACCGGTCCCTCCTTAAAACATGTCCAAAGTATGCTAGACGAAGCCTCAGAATCCTTGCCTCCAAGGAGCCGCCCAGTTTAACCCTTTCCAGGATGAATCTGTTTCTTTTCCCAGCAGTCCATGGTACCCTCAATACTCTTCTCCAGCAACACAGCTCATAGACATCAATTCTCCTTGTCCTCCTTAGTCATTATCCGACTCTCTGATGCATAACAAGTGATAGCCTGTATCATATGTACCTTAGTCTCCAGAGAGACGCCCATTGCTCTTCAGTACTTTGGAGCGGTCCCTCCCAGCAGACTTTCCCATAGCAATAAGTCTATTCATTTCCTGGCTGCTGGTGCCAAGAGTGTTGACTGTGGAGCCAGGCAAACTAAAGCTGTCAACAATCTCAATCTCTTCACCATCCATCATGATGCTCCCAATTGGCCCAGTGGTGAGAATCTTTGTCTTCTTGACATTGAGCCTCAATCCATATTGGAGGCTGCAGTCCTTGACCCTCTGCAGCAGCCGCTTCAGGTCCTCTTCAGTTTCAGCAAGCAGGGTTGTGTCATCTGCATAACGCAGATTGTTGATAGATCTTCCACCAATCTTGACCCCACATATTTTATAAAATAGGTTGTATGAAACAGGTTGTCTTAAACGTGAGACTTGCCAACCCTTAAGAGATTGACTTTAATCCAGGTAGAAAGGCTCTACAAATGTTGTCAAGCTATAAATAAATTTTAAGTAAATATCCTCAGAAAAATGTGTTCTTGGGACCATGCTTCGACCCGATGGCTCATGGTTTGCATTTGATGTGATGGCCATGCCTAGGCCTGGTGGCTCACGGTTAGCGTTGGTTTTGTTGCAGGGCAGTGACTTTCTCCGTTTAGACCCATCTAGTGGAAATCTTTCCCAACAGGAAGGCAACAGGTTCTATATTCTTGATTTACACCGGTGTTATCATGCATTGTACTGCTTCCTTAAGGATAAGATCAAATTCTCATCATTAACTTTATTAAACTAGATGCCCAGTTTTATCACTCCAGCTCAGAAAACCCAGAATGTTGAACATCTCGAAAGGTATATTGACTAATAAGATTAGAAGAAAACTTATTTTTGAATTTTTATTGTGCATTACAGTAGCATAGAGAATCTTTAAAAATCTCAATTCTCTATCTTTCCAACCCTTTAACTGCCGACATCTTTAAGAGTAAAAACATATTTAAGAGTTGAACCAGGCATCTTCACAGTTACTCAGCTGTACTGCCGTGTTTAAAACAGGAGACACAGAAGAGATTCACCTGGCCTCCATGTGACTGGGTACCAGAGCTTGTACTTCCTTTAAGTATAGTGGACACAGTGTTCGTTGACAAGAATTTTTAGTTTGGTGGTGTGTGCCTTTTAGTCAGACCAACCCTTAGCTGACCCTCCGCTGGGTTTTTAGAGGCAGTAAACTTCATTGGAAGAGATAGCACATCTTTCTCCTGAAGAGCAACTGGTGGATTTGAACCACCTGTTTTGGGGTTGACAGTACAACTCTTTCCTACTAGGCTACCAGAGCACTTTATTTTCAACATTTGTGAAGTTAGTTTCTTTTTGGTGTCTTTTCCACAGTTGATTGAAAATTGTAGTCAGTTCACTGGCACCTACCAGCAGTAGTGCAGCAGCATCGGGAGAGGTAATTATGTTCTGGTTGGTGAGGTTCTTTCTTTTTTTTATGTCTTGACAGTCTGCAGTACGACTCTCTGGGTGGGTCAGGTGGATAAGAAAGCAACACAACAAGATTTAACCAACCTTTTTGAAGAGTTTGGACAAATTGAATCCATCAATGTAAGTATCCTTAATAAATAAGTAAATGAATGACTGAATGAATGCTCATGCCAGTATCTGAATCTGTAGTTAAGGCATTTAGGTGCTGATCAAAAAGTCCGTGGTTCTAAGCCACCAGCTGCTTCATGGGAGAAAAATAGGCAGTCTGCTGCTATAAAAATGTGCGGCCTTGAAAGAGCATGGGCAGCTCTGTTCTCCCCGGTGGGATTGCTGAGTCCCGAGGGCTCACTGCGGTGAGTTCAGTTTGGTTTTGGTGTGATTTTGTATGGATTATTGTGCTTTTAGCCCTTCTGTGATTATTTCAGTGCTACTCTTTCCTTGTTTATGTAATTCCAACAAAGTATTATTGGGTGTTTCCTTACTGCAGTAGTTGATTTATAAAATGCAAGGTATTTGGGTTAGCAGGAACCCTAAGTGTGACCTAGTTTAACCGCTGCCCCTTTTATTGTTCAGAGGACTAGACAGAGCCCTACAGATTACTGAATTGGTGTGTTAAAGATTGTTTTGTGATCTGGCCATTGATACAGACTGGTTAAAACACTTTTCGGAAGAGTCTTTTCCCAGTCTTTAGACCTTTTCCTGTTTGTGTAATATGCTTTTCCCGAAAGCCTTGGAACAAAGAATGGTTTTCTAAAAATGAAAAGCTATATCATAACTAGTAGTTGTAGTTTATAGATTTAATGTTAAGGATAAAATACTCCCTAATTAAAAAAATCCTTTTTTATACTACTCAATATAAATAGTAATTGGAAACATTGAGATCTAAGTTTAAATATTTTGTATGACGTTAAATATGTTGGCCACACAATATTGCTTTCTTTTCATCTGATTGTATTGTACATGTGTGGCCTTCTGTAATTTCGTCTTAATAGTTCTTTATTGTTATTACTCACTGTCAGGCTGCTTTTTAGCTCAACAAGTCCATGTGGCAGAGTCAGTCTTCCCTGGAGAATTTTCATGGCTGTAACTTTTAGTGAAACAATCTCTAGGTTTTTTGCTGTGGCGTGGCTACGGCCCTCACTATTGACTCCTTATTTATATGAACAGACAACACTCTTAAGATTCCAAAAAGAAAAGCTCCTGGCGTTAGAGCCGGGAGCAGCAGCACAATGGGCACATCATCCTTGCTGCCGCTGTCGTCTTCCTGCAGGCAGAGCTTCTTTCCCTTCAACTTTAACCGGGAACTTTTTGATTCCAAAAGACCTGGCTGGCTCTTAGTTTAGGAAGTACCATATGATCAAGGCCCAGGAGCTTTGACAAGTCCTGCCATCACTCGAAGGGTAGGAGTTTCTGTCTGATGGGTGCTGGCAGAGGCAGGGTGGAAAAGCTTTGGAGAAGTTCAGTGTCAGAATCAGGCCAGGTGCTGACTGTGCAGCAGACAATCACTTTCTTGTGTGCAAGTTTAAATTGAGGCTTGAAGAAAATGAAAACAAGTCCATAAGAGCCGAAGTAGGATCTTGACTCTATGCTACCTGAATTTAAAAATGAGCTTGAGCTCTCTTCTCCTGGAGGCCTGCATGCTGGGTTAGTTCAGATCTGTTGTTCATAGGGTTGCTGTGAGTTTTACTTGAAACGATGACACCTAACAACAGCAGTTAAGCTAGGAAGCTCTCGGAGTCTAGTGGGTAAGGAATTGTGCCAACAAACCCAAGGCAGGCGGTTCACATTCAGTGGTCGATCTGTGGAAGAAAGATGGACAGTCTCCTTCATCTGATTTATCGCCTCTGAGCTCACTGAAAGGTCAGCTGTAGTTGGTTTCTGTTCAGCAGCACCTAATTGCAACTTCAGCATAATAACAAACCCTTAAGTTTGTTGTCGTCCTTGTTGTTAGGTGCTTTCAAGTTGAGTAGGACTCAAAGCAACCCGATATGAACAGAAGATCTGAACCTTAGCCTGCTAGACTCAGTTTAGATGATCCCAATTTTCTTGGAAACATCCGAAGCATCATTGTTGTTGTTATGTGCCGTCGAGTCGCCTGCGACTCATAGCGACCCTATGTACAACAGCCCTAAACTCCGCTCTGTCCTGTGCCAGTCGCACTGTCTCTGACACTCCCATCCCAATTATCCCAGTCACTGAATCAATCCACCTCATAGAGGGCCTTCCTCTCCTGCGCCGTCCCTCCACCCTCCCAAGCATGATGTCCCTCTCCAAGGACCGGTCTCTCCTCACTACATGTCCGAAGTAAGTTAGCATCATATCAGGAGCAAATTGAACGTAGGCCTTTTTCTCCCTATCAGACCTAATCAAAGTGTTGACCTTGGTCACATCAGTGTCATAGAGCTTCTTTACAGCTTGTTTAATTTGGTGCTTGTTGGCCTTGACATCCACGGTGAACACAAGTGTCTTGTTCTATCATCTTCGCGGCTGACTCAGTGGTCAGGGAAACTGGATTGCACAGTGGTCAAGCTTGTTTCCTGGGGGCTCTTTTCCAGGGGTATTTGGGCTGCCTTCGGAGTCTCAAGCCATCTTTGGTCACTGGACGTGGGTATTGTGCGGCTCTTCTCTTTTTTGTTCTGGCTGTGGATGCCCTTCAGGACTGCCTTCCTGGTCGTTAACACCGTTATTCATGCTTCAGTTTTGGGAGGAGCAAGGGCTTCCTTGTTAGCTTTCAGTGCCATCTTCAAACAAATGCAAGATTGAGAACCATGCTTCGAAACGCATTTGTCGATCTTCGGCAACGTGTTAAGACTCTGACAAACATTGAAAGTAAATGAAATATTTGAGATGTTAAATGTTCAAATAATTGAAATATTAGAAGTACTTTAAGAACATGAGTAGGATAGTAGTTTTTGAGTTCTCACAGCAGAGTTGAAAAGTCTAACACGGTTCCTAGAGACACTCCATTTTCTCCTTGTTTATGAAACCCGAAAGCCCTCTAACAGAAAAGTACATTTCTTGTGTTGCCTCGGTTTGGGAAGCTTGAGGCTGCCAGTATTTTCCCAGTTACTGTTGCTCAGATTCTAGGTGGAATAATACAAAGAAGAAGAAAAAAAACCCATGTTGTTTAGACACAGATTTCTGTTCTTACACCTTCACGTCAGGAATTTTACTCAGAAGGACGCTGACCAAAGCCATTGGAACAACTCCGTGGGCCAGCAGAGAACCGTGCTGTGGAGTTCGCAGGTCTGCAGGCCTTTACAGCAGCACACTGCCTCGTTTTATCCCACAGAGCAGCTGCTGGCTTTGAATCGCTGACCTTTTAATTTGACAGCTCCCCACTTTCATCCCACTGTGCTGTCAATGTTCCTAAGGAAGAAGAGAATGGTTAACAGTTTAGTAGCTAATATATGCTGTCCAGATCAAATTGTGTGAGTAGGGAGGAAAACCTGGAGGCCTGCTTCTCTGAACCTTTACAGCTTGGGGAACCTGTCAGGTGCGGTTGCTGTGAGCTCACATCACCTTGAGGGTTACTCATGACAATAACAGAAATATTAGTCATTCATTAATATTTTATTAAAACTACAGAATATCAGAACTACTCCTCTTACAATCTTTCTTTGAAAAGGTGGGAATTGTTTTGTGTTTTTTTTAAACAGATGATTCCTCCCAGGGGCTGTGCTTACGTTTGTATGGTTCATCGACAAGATTCCTTTCGGGCCCTTCAGAAGCTTAGTTCTGGGTCATATAAAATCGGGTCCAAAGTCATTAAGGTAAGATTATCTGGTTGTGGAATTTGCAGAACAATACTGGAATGTTCTTGTTTTGGTCTCTCCTTATTTTCTTCCTTATTGTGTACCATCAAATTGGATCCAGCTGCACAGGAGGACGGTGCCCCTGCTTCTGCAGTGGAGAATCTGCTTGAATCTGGTGGATTCGAGCCACAAGCCTTCGGGACTGCAGCACAGCTTCTTGTCACTAGGCTGCCAGAGCTCCCTTACCAAAATATTCTTAAGAACCTGACTTTCTTTTGTACAAGTCACATGTTGTTGTTTATTTGGACTGTTAGATGCTCTTCATAACCTTTTCATAACATGAGCAGACTAATCCTGAAGAACAGTCACTGGAAAGAATTCAGTATTGCTGAGGGATTGATTTGTAGGTACCTAAGAATCACTTCAAACCCAAATTTTATTCAAATAGTAATTTGAAATCACACAGTCCTAATTCTCCTAAGTCAGCTCAAGAACTGCTTTTAGGAGCAGAACTTGGAATTTGTGTTTCATTCAGTATTTGCCCTTAAGCCCTTCCTAATCACACTCTGTACCTATATCATGGATTTTGTCTTCACACTTTCCTTACACAAACCAGACCCTGTGGAAAGATTTATTTCTATTAAATTTTGATTATCCTTCCTCTTAATAGAGAGTCTCTTCCTGTGTGACTTTATGTGACTCGTTCACATTTTATTTCTTTTTCCAGCTGTCAGATAAGTCAACATTACTCTTCAGGGAGCTAATAGATATCTAGCTTTGTCATTTCATGGCAGAGTTTCTTTATATTCTCCTAAGGGAAAAAGAAAAAGTTTAAATTTTTTATGATGAAAGTAGATTTGGTTGGTCTATTAATGAATATTAAAGTTGCAGTAAAATGAAGCATTTATTTACTTGAGTCTGATTTTGAATATTTTTCTTGTATTTTTACACACACACACACACACTCTCTCATTTTTCTCTTCCTCTTTTTTCTTTACCAATAGATTGCCTGGGCTTTAAACAAAGGTGTCAAAACAGAATATAAACAGTTCTGGGACGTGGATCTGGGAGTTACATACATCCCCTGGGAAAAAGTGAAAGTGGATGACTTGGAAGGTTTCGCGGAAGGAGGCATGATTGATCAGGAGACTGTAAACCCTGGTAAGAACCCCATGGCTCAGATGGAAGGAGCTTTATTGTGGGAAAGTGTAAACTTGAAAGATTGTAATTAAAGTGGGTTTTACATGAGAAGATGAATTGTTTTATTGTGAAAAATAGAAAAATATAGTGTCTAGTACACACTATTAGTGCCTATTAAGTCTTATTCCATACATTTACATATCAGTTGTCTTTGTTGTTGTTACATGCTACATGTTACCAGCCGGGATTGAGTCATCGCTGACCCGTGTTCAGGGCTGTAAACCACACAGGAGGAGCTGGCCTGTCTTCCTCCCTGGGCAGCACCTGGTGGATTCTCTTTTGCTTGGTGGCCAACTCTTTAACCAGCAGGCCAGCACAGGTCTAGAAAAGTAGCATGGATGTCCATTTATCAAGGGATTGTTGGGGGTTTTTTTGAGGAGAGAATTATGCATGGTGGAGATTTTTTTAAAGTTTCTAATTCCTTCAATTTAGAAGGGAAGTGGGTATTTGAGAAGTATCTCTGAATAACTTCCCTTATTTTTTTGACTAAGATCCATGCCAGAATATCGGGATTAGAATTTTTCGTTTTCGGGCTATCACCCACAATGCTAGGACCTCTTCATGTATGCTCTTAACTAAAAGATGTTTGTCTTGCCTGCTGGACGCTGCTTTTAAAAATGGTGTCTGATTTTTATTTTAAACCTTTTCATTTACAAGTTCACAAGTGATTAGCAGTTGAAACCAGGAGAAATAATGAAATTGATAATTGAGAGGGGGGAGGCATACACCATATTTTTTACATCTTTGATGTTTTTCAACCAAATCAGTAATTTTTAGAATGGGTTTTTTTTTTTTTCAGGACCATGAAAATGTTTTCCAATCTTTTGTTAGTTTCATGAGTTTTTGGGTTGTTTGGTTTTTGTTGTTTTTTTTTTTCCCCTCTTATAGCCTTTGATTTTCTTGCCTTGACGGGTGTTTTTCAGGCCATTCATTCATTCATTCAATAAATGCTGGTTCCAAGCATGTCCAAAGCGGTTCCAAGAACTGCTGTATTGTAGCTGTGCAGCCACAGTGCTACACACATCTGTGGTGGAGAAATATTTAATCCTAGTATCAGCAGACTGTGACCACAGGGATCTTCCTGTCAGCCTCTTCATGTAAACAGAAAGTTCTCTGAGACATCCTCACATGCATTCATGTTCACACACATACAGGAGCTCTGATAGCCTGGTGGAATGAGTCACGCTCGTACCCCAGAGCTACATGGTCACGTTCAGGTCCGTATCTACAGCTGCTTCCTGGAGAAAGATGAGCAGTCTCTCGTGTGTGGCACACGACCTCTAATCAAACAGCGGAACGGTCAGCTGTGAGTCAGTTCTGACTTGATGGCGCATAGCGTCTACATGTAACTTTGTTTTGGGTGTGAAGCGTCTAGCTGACGTGCTAGTGGATTTTCAGAGGCAGAAAATTACGTGAGCGGAGATTGCCCACCCTTCCTCCACTGAGCATCTGGTGGATTCAAACAGAAAGCCTTTGGGATTGCAGCACAGCTTCTTACCAGTAGGACACTAAAGCTCCCGGAGGTATACATTGTTGTTGTTGTCATTGCTGTTGATTGCTCTCGAGTAGAGGCGACTCATAGTGACTGAGCAAAAGACCTAAGGCCTTTCTAGAACTGTCATCATTTCTCCAAGTTCGTAGCGTTTCCAGAGGCATGTGGTTTAGGACGTGGATGCCGCGCTGCTTCCAAACCCATTTTGCAACTGGGAGCTCCACCAAACACTGTCCACTTTGGGAAACCATTCTGGCATTTGACACCCCTGTGTCAAACCTAGATTACCTCAGTACAGCACATTGACAAAGAGTGATGTACAAAGTAGAAGAATATTCCTTTAAAATATAACCCTAGTCTCATTTAGCAGTGGTTAAGTTATGACTCAGTGACCCTATGAACAACACACCTGAACTCTTCTATAATTAACACAATTTCTCTATGTTCATAGAGTTTCCAGAGGCATCTGGTTTAGGAAGTGGATGTCACTCCTGCTTCCAAACCTGATGATTCAATCTGGAAGCTCCACCAAACACTGTCCATGATGGTAACAATTATGGTATTTGACACAACTATGGCACAGTGTTCAGCATCACAGCAACTCCAAGTTACTTCAGTACAGCAAATAGATGACTGCTGTAACACCTAAAGAATGTTCCTCCCAACAGTAACAAATACTAATAACACATTAACACAAACCAAAACTTTCCTTACGTGACCCTCAACAAGACACGAGAAACCAACTTGTAGAGTGGAGCCCCTTCACAGGAGCCTCCAGGCCAGCTGCAGACTTAACCCAGTACTGCTGCTGTGTACCGAGTCAGAACCGACCCATAGCTGACCCTCTAGCAGGTTCTTAGAGGAGGTTAATCACACAGGAGGAGATTGCCCTTCCTTCTCCCGCCATGTTATAACAGGAATTATATGTGTATTATATTCAGTATTGATGATTGCAAAGAGTAGAAAACTTGGATGAGACATTGACATGAGTAGAGGACAAGTACAGGGTTTAAAAAACTGGAAGTTCTTATTAAGAGGATGACACTTGTGCAAAGACTGGAAGGAAATTAAGAGAGTAAGCTACTTAGTTAACTGGAAAAAAATATTCTGCACAAAGCCTTTTCTCAAAAATGAAGGGCTGTGTGTGGCTCGAGTAGTGAAGAGGAATGTGATGAAGTTCAGGGAGGTGAAATAATTTAGCTTTTAATGTTGTTATAGTGATTATGGTCTTGACTTGAACTAAGGTAGAAACCACTAGAAGGCAACATTGGGACAACCTTGTTTCACTTTTGCAAGGTTGTATTTTCAGAGATTTCTGTAGAGTGTATGATTGTTGGTGTTTCTGTCGTATACATTGCGACAAAAAGTTCTCACATGAGACCACCTTTGAGATACTTACCTACTCTGTCATCTCCGAGTGTTTTGAGTTGTGCAGTGCCCTTCAGTCATCTCCTGTGTTACTACTTTAGGACTGTTCATGAACCTGGGCAGCTGAGAACACTTCTAAAGATGTGGCTTTGCTGTATTGCCACGGTGGGAGAACATTGAGTCAGATGGGAAATAAATACAGAGAGAGAAAGAAAATGAGGAGTCACACTTCTCTAAAGGAGGTCAATTTCAAATATTTTGTTTAGAGTGGGAAACGGTGAAAAGCGCCCCCGAGCCTGTGAAGGAGCCTGCCCCGGCCCCTGAAAGTCCACCCCCTCCGGTTGAAAAGGAGCCCGCAGTCACACCCCAGGCCCAGGCGGAGGTGTTCCCTCCTCCTGTTGCAATGTTGCAGGTAAGTGTGAGCTGACTGGGTTCTACACCTTACTTTTGTGTGTGTGTGTAAAACACAGGCAAGAACTTGCCCAGTTAGGGCAAATATTTGTCAGGAATGTTAGAGAAATCAACTTCATTAAATCTCTTTTTAAATTTAACATTAAAATATGAAAGTATTCTGAAAATGTACTTACTTGTTTTTTTCCCCCCTCCCCTTAGAGGTAGGGTTTTCTGAAGAGTTTTAGATTGATAGACATTATTGTCATTTTTGTCAGATTCATTAAATAAAAAATATTTTTATTTTAATGTTGTTTGAATAAAGTTTACTTGTAGAAATGATGCCATTCCTGTTTAAACAGTTTACTAATTTTGTAACTTGCTGAGGGTCTGCTCTGCCCTGCCTTGGGCCCCTCACTGTTCCCGGCGAGCAAGCTTGTGGCGTGCGTGGTGACCCACTGACTGACTCCCTCTCTTAGTGAAGCATGCCTTCTTAGCAGATGTGACAGCAGACGTAGAAACGGGTGGGTAATGAGGACTGCTGTTAGGTGCTGCTGAGTCGAGTGTGACTCCTCGCCACCCCGTGGGCAAAGGATCTGAGCTGTGACACACTAAAACCCATCTCCTTGGGGTCTTCTCTCGCTGACCCCTACCTTTCCAAGCACGGTACCCCTGTCTAAGAGATAGCCTCTTCTATAAACGTGCCTAAAATATTGAGACAAACTCCCACCGTCCTTCCCTCCAGAGAGCCCTGAGAGTGGCAGGAGAAATGGTGGGGTACGGAGGACCGCAAGTTTCCATTTCAACCATAATTAGTTATACATACTATATATGTCTTTTATTATCCTGTATTCATCTATTTTACATGTAAATTACTTTTATCCTTTTACCATTTTAAGTGAAATGATCATGGTAGACGTAATTCCAAATATGATCTTTTTACTCTGAAAGAATTAAGCACAGAGATGTGTGAGGTGGTGAACAGCAAGCCAGCTGGAGAGAAAGGCGGCAGGAGAAGGGGGATGTTGGAAGAGGTTGGGCGACAGACTGACTTTATTGCCCTTAGTATTTAAGGACATGCTGCTATTGTCAGAGTAGACTGCTGTGACCAGTGATTAGATAAAATGATTGGTGGTGGGTGGGGCCAGTGAGCGGGGAGTTGGATCAACGTGAGGTGAAGGCCAGCTTCCCGCTTGTTGTGAAGCTCAGCTGTTGGCAGTTTGCTGTGATTGGGTGTGGAGTGGTCATCAAGTTAGCCATCTGTTGAATAATCCTCTGTAATTTCACTCCCAAGTATAAAAGAAAGACTGATGCTGTTTCTTACCTCTCTAAATAAGAAATAAGGGGGGGAACCACAAAAAACAGTTTACCTTTATTTCTCCTTTGTTGTGGTCATGCTGATAGATAAAACATGTGGACTTTTTCTTTCTTATCCGTAAAAGATTCCAGTCGCACCAGCCGTGCCTACGGTTAGCTTAGTCCCGCCTGCCTTTCCTGTGTCAATGCCGGTTCCTCCTCCGGGATTCAGTCCACTGCCTCCACCTCCATTTCTTCGAGCAAGTTTTAATCCTTCTCAGCCACCTCCTGGTAAGAAACTCTGCTGATACTGTGTTCTGTGAGTTGGGTTTTCCCCCAGGCTTCCACACTTCTGTTGTTGTTCAGTGCCACTTGAGGCAAATATGACTCCTAGCAGCCCTGTGAACTACAGCATGGCAAGTCCTCGCAACCCTGGGAGCTGCACATCTGAACCCTGCCCTGTGCTGTCCTCATCGTCTCTGACACACTTGGGCCTTTAATAAAGGGTTCTAATAAAGTAACTGTAATAACAGTCGCTGTGTCAGTCTATGTGGTTGAAGGTCCTCTTTTTCACTGTCCCTTCACCTTTCCAAGCATAATGTCACTCTCCTGTCAACATGCCCACGGGAAAGTATGAGGTTCTCATACCTCAGCATGCGTCAGATGCAGCCTTTGAATCTCCTTCCCTTCCCATGGCCTGAGGGCTTCTTTATGTGAGGTGAGGCCTCATGCCCAGTGTCGCCCGGGGTTGTCCAGTGTCCACTTCCTTAGCTCGCTGATGGGCTCTGTAAATTTGCAAGTCCAACCAGTTCTCAAGGGATACAGATTTCTAGAAGGACTACAGGAAAAGCAATACTTTTCTAGGGAAGCTGTGCTAGAGAAAAGAAGTGGAAGTGTTAGGATGTAGATTTCTAATGTATTCGTTTGTTATTTAACATGGTACCTTTTTTAAAGTCATTAACTGGTTTATGAATAAATTAGCACTCACAGTCTAATATCATAGTGCCACCCAAGGTCAGTGAAAGAGTGTTAGCTTTGGCTCGATGGTACATGTGTGAAAGAGCCGCCGGACCTGGTTGGTGGATGACATTATTGCATGGGACGTGAGCAGCAGCTGGGAACAGTTGCCCATGCAGTCACTGTGTTAGACTGCACTTGCATGCATACATAGCCAGAAACTAAGGTGAAAATCTTTGTTTAGCCTGGGCGTTGACAGCTCGATGGCGGGATTCCCACCTGCATGTTGAAGACCCAGCTGGAGGTCTCTGTTGTCAGGATGTGGAGCAGATTTTAGCATTTTCCAGATTGACTGTCCAGGAGCAAGGCCTTGAGTGAGGCTCCCTCAGGAGCACAGTGGTGTCTTGTCACCTCACCAACAGCTGCTCATAACGTTCTGCATGGCCTTGCTGGGAGTCAGGCCGGCTCCCCTGCACCTCACAGTGTAGTCAGGTGTTAAGTAACTTGCAGTAACACAAGACCACTTCTTCATAGGTCTGAAGCCTCTGATAGAAGCAGATAATTTTTCTTATTCTTCTTTCCCCCACAGGTTTCATGCCACCTCCTGTCCCACCACCTGTTGTCCCACCTCCTGCTATCCCACCGGTAGTGCCAACATGTGAGTTTTCCAACAAGAATTTTCTCAATTCCCGGGTATTAATGAGCCAGTTTGCATTCATCTTTTTAATTATAAAACACATTTTTGATGCATAATTTCTGAATAACTAGCAGTGACATTTGAATTTGTCCAGTTATCTTTAACATGATTATTTATCATTTACTGTGCAAAATTCAGAGAGGGTTACTCCATCATAATTTGTTTTGTTTTCATTTTTTCAATTTTTTTTTAATGCCGAGCAGTCCTGCCCAGGCCCCGTCTCCTTTCTCAGTTCTTCATATCTGTGTTTGCTTGGCCATGTAAAGAATTTGGTTCATTTTGTTTCTTTGTATCTTGGTTCCTCCATTTGCTTATATTATATTTTGTATAAATAGAAGTTGAACCTCCAAACTTGATTCGATTCCGGTTCAACTATTTTTGGCAAAAGTAATGCACTGGTGGGTGCCACGACATTGATTCTGTGTCAGGAGCCATACCCCGCTGCCTCCTCCTGCTTGTGCTCATGTTAAATTAGACGGGTCAGAGCATCCATGTAGCAGAGCTCTCGAGTGCTCATCGAATAGCTTCACCTGTTGGTCACTGTTACTTGAATAGAAAATATTTTCTTAGCAACTCCTGGTAATTGGTTACTTTGAAATGTGGTTTGTTGAGGAAAGCTAGAGTAGAGGCTCACGTTTTCAAGTTTTTTTGAGTAAGTAATGAGTTATTTACTTTCCTGTTTTCTCCAGTGTTTTCTGTTTTAATGTTGTCAGCTGGTTCCAGCTAGCTGATCTCAAATTGTCGTAAATGCATGTGTGTGGAGCAGACCTGCTCCATAAGGTCTTCAAGACTGGAGGGAGGTTGAGGGCCTCACTTCTGGAAGCCTCAGGGTACATTTGTACGCCCAGCAGTTCAATTCCCAGCCGAGTCGTTTTGTTTGTTCCACTCGGGGCTTTTCAGAGTAATGCTGTGTACTGTGATATTTTCGGTGATTTCCAGGCTGAACGTCATCAGAGATTTCTATTTTTCTCCTTCTCTAACTTTTCCTTCTCTCTCCTTTCCCCTCTTTCTTCTTCATCTAAAGAATTGTGAATTACTAGATTATTTTTTTCTGCCATTTTGTTCTATTTATTTTTCCTTTTGATGTTTAAAATGTTTCATTTGTGAATAAGAGAATTTTCCTGTTACTTTAGATTCATTTGACCATGACTGTGTTAGCTTCCTGAGAACTTAACTAGTTTTTTGTTGTCTCAATTTGTTCCAGACTAATTTTGTGCATTTTCTATTCCCTTCTAAGAATCAGCCATTTTTTTTCCAAATGAGGCACAGTTTATGAGACCTAAATCTAGGATCAAAGTTTTCATGAGTCAAGGAGTATTATTTTGAGAAGAATAATTTTTAAAGATGAATACACAACAGAATCAAAATCGTTTAGCATAGATCTCTTTAGTTAGCTGCTATGTGTTTTTTTAGACTTTCTTCTCATCACTGAAAACATTAACATGATTGCTTGTTGGCATTGCATTCTCTTAAAATATATACACAGAGTATTTTTAAAGTTGAAAACCCAATAATTGCTGCTAGAATTAAGACTACTGGATGGAATTAACACTTTTCTCTGCCGCTTTCTTTGTCCTCAGAATATATTTTCACTGAGGATGTAGACCAAATCAGTGTTATCCAAAGTCACCTGAAATAATGTTTTTCTCTGTGTGGTGTGGCACAAACTCCATCTGTTTGACTTCCTCTTGTTTTACATTTTCATAGAATTACCACTCCAGGCTAGTTTGGTCATCTAGAGTTTTCTTTCCTAGAATAGAAATTTCCAAAGAAATGCAGATTAATTGCAAATGTAAATATTTGCAGATATTCGTTAGCATTTTTAGTGCTACTATTTCAGTTTTGGGACTTTTCAGAAACATTAACACTTTGTCGCTAATTTTTCTTCTGTTGTCTGGTCACTTTGAAGGTTTCTGGACAACCTTTCAGTAACTTAGTCAGACTTACCTCAGAAGGTTGAGCTACATGGCAATCTAGTGTGCAAAGTATGCAGGGACAGTGCAGAGCTTTGCTGGGACCTCCTCTAACTACTCAGCTTTCTCAGCCTCCTTGCCCTCTTTCAGTGTTTGGCCAGCATCAGAATCTCTTCTGTTTTGTGTTTGCTGGGTATTAGGGATAGTTGTTTAGAGCTCATTTCTGGATTCATTTTTCAAAGAAGCTCACCCTGGTTATTTATTCTGCTTTCATGCCTTTTGGAAAATCCAGAGATGCACTCCCAGAGAAAGAGCCCGTCTGTGCCAGGTCCTCTCAGGTGGCATGCGCTGGCTTGTCTCCATCTCCACATTTCCATCGTGCTCACAGCTGGTTTTATTCCTATTTTGCAGTTCTGTTCTGTGCTATCAGTTTGTCCACATGGTAGTCTAGAGTTAATATCAGGATACAAGTGCCTAAAATGCCCATGTAAGAGATTGCACAGTGTGCCTAGTGACATAAATTGATTATCTAACAATATGATTGTTTTTTCTATACTTGCGTGTTCCTGTTTTTTAATATAAATGACATAATACTCTTAGGGAGTTTTCTTCCCATTGTTGCAAACAGAATGTTGATAGTATTTGTATGTGAAGTCTGCTCTGCCTGATGAGTCTCTGACCTCGTTTGACAAAAGCTAGTGAACATAAGGATGCTACCAGTACCAGTTGCTGTCAAGCCGACGCCAGCTCCTGGCCGCCCCTGTGTGTCAGAGTAGAAATGTGCTCCGTAGGGTTGTCAGTTGCTGATTTGTCGAAAGTAGATCACCAAGACTTTCTTCCGAGGCGCCTCTGGGTGGACTCAAACCTACAAACCTTTGGTTAGTACCCAAGCCTCTTAACCATTTGTACCACTGAGGGACCTCATACAAACACAAGCATGTTGTAATTTCAAAGGAACCAGGTTGATTTTCATTCTCATATGTACTTGTCCTTCTGCACGAAATCATTATGTGTATTTATGTTCTCACATACCTGTCATCCTTGGAAAAGAATGATTTTTCAGATTACTGGAATTTACTTCTTAAATCTTAATTCTTACTTTACCAGATGTATTTTACAGGGGAGGGGGGGATGTATTTTTAAAAATACCATTTTGACAAAGTTTACATAACGAATTAGGTTTTCATTTTTCAGTTTCTGTATATACTCTTCAGTGACGGTTCGACTTTCCACAGTGTGTCAGCATTCTCATGGTTTTCATTCTGGTGGTTCTGTTTTCATGAGTCTAGTTTCCTTGTCTCCATCAACTTCGCATCGTGGTCTTGGGTAATGTTGACTGTTTGGTCTCATTTAGATGATTGTTTCGCGGAGCACAGAACTTTGGAGCATAATTTGTAATTTAGAAGCCACTCGTTCTTTTGACTGATAGGTGACTTTTAATGAGAGTATTTTTTAAAGTGTAGTTTTAATTTTTAAAAAGCAAGTCTTACTAAATGTACAGATTAATTATTTGCCATAGTGAGCGTTTTGTTATTTATTGACATGCAGAAGTTATTTTTTATTTTTATTTACGTGGAAAAACCAGAAGACAATTCACGTAAGTTATGTTAACTGAGCAGTCTTACCAGATAACAAAGGTGAGGGTAAGGAAGCACCTTTGAGATAGTCACTAGGCCAGTTATTACTGTTGTGAATGACATGAGCTGATGGATTAAATCAGAAGCTTTTCCCCCCTCTTTAAACAGCTTTAGTGCAGCCACCGTTATCCATGACGCCGGAGACTGTGAAGGATGTTGGTTTTGGTAGCCTTGTTTTGCCAGGTGGTTCTGTTGCCAGCAGCCTCGTGACTCCTGCACTGCCACCTGGAAGTGTCTTTAACCCTCCAAGTAAGCAGGCAGAGCCAGAAGACAAAGGACCTCACCTTGCAGACCACCAGATTCCTGCTGGTGAAAACCCGAGAGCAGGTAACGTTAACAGCATCCCAGGCACTGCTTCAGCCGCCTGGGGTTCAGGAGCAGGAGATGTTGTTCACTCATCTACACCATAAATGTTAAAATACTCTGATGGTTTTGGGGGCTTCTTTAAGAGAGCGAGATCATTTAAAATTTTTGGGGTTTGGTTTTTGACTTTTTTGGAGAGTGGGTTCATTTTCCATTTAGAATGCATTTGACACCTACTGTATTAAGATCAGACTCGCAGTGATTTGTTTGCTGATTGGATCACCTTCAGTGTGTTGTCCAATAAGGCTGCCCCAGATCTGGATGTTATGTGCCGTCATCTGGGTCCCGATAGATAGAAACCCCTGTTTACAAAACGAGACGCCTCCCAGCCCTGCCCTGGCCTCCTAATTTTTGCTGAGTTTGAGCTTATTGTTGGAGCCCCTGTCCCAGTCGTCTGGTTGAGGATCAGCATCTTGTCCATCAGTGTGCTCCAGAGCCCGATTTCTTCCTGGAGGAGCTGGGCCCTCCAGATACTGTGTCCACAAGATGTGAGAAGGCGTCTTAGCATCCTTGTCCTCTGTGCGTTCCGGCTAGACATCTCTTCTTCGAACACAGACAGATTTGTTCTTCTGGGAGTCTAGGGTATATTCAATGTTCTTTGGCAACAACAGGTTCATAGGTATCCATTCCCCTTCGGTCATTGTCATTCATTACACAGCGTTTGCAGGGATATGAGGCAGTTGAAAATATTGTGACTTGAATCTGGAACACTTGGACTTAGTCCGGGAGAAATTTTTGCTTTTTAACCCTTTAAAAAGAGGTCTTTTGTGGTGGGTTGCCAAGTGCGATGTTTAATTTGATTTCTTGATTGCTTCTTCCATGGGCATTGATTGAGGGTCTAGGTACGGTGACATATTAGTCAATTTCAGTCTTTCTCTGTTTATTCCAGTGTTATGTATTTGTCTACTTTGAAGATTTTTATTTTCTTTCTGTTGTGATGTAAAGCATACTGAAGGCCATACATAGTCTTTTCCATTAACCATTGTTCCCTTGTTCTGTCAGAATGACTTCTTGGTCTATGCAACAGTGTCTTTGTGAGCTCAAAGAACTGTCTTGGAATTCTCATGCTTCATCTTTATATGCAGTTTGATAAATGGTCCCTATTGTCTCTGCATAATGAGTAAAATGGAGGTACAGTTTTTGGATTTTCTCTTTACCCACTGTTCACCTAATATCAGCAGTGATATCCTTGTTCCATGTCCTTTTCTGGACTTGGCTTGCATTTCTTGCATTTGTTCACATACTGTTGTGACCATTTTTTAAATTCTCTTGAGCAAGAGTTTACTGTCTTGTGATATTAGTGATAGTATTTAATAGCTTGTACATTCTGTTTGACCACTTTGCTTAGGAGTGGGTGCAAATCTAGATTGTATCCATCAGTCAGCTCCCTGTCCTCTGATTTCTCAGTATAGTTCCACTGTGCTTTCAGAGTTGCAAGTTTGTTCAAGCATTTCAGTTACTGTTCTGTGCATTTCTAGAGCCGCCTTTTTCTTCAGTGCCTTGAAGTGCAGCTTGGGCTTCTTCCTTCCTTATTACTGATTTTTAATCATATGCTCCATCCTGACATGGTTGTGTATGACCCACTTGTTTTTGGTGCAGTTATTTTGTATTCCCGGTGTCTTCTCTTACTGCCTTGTGTCTTCTAATGTCATTCACATAAAATTCTTCACTAGTACGGTTTGAGGCTTGCATCTTGTTTTAGTTCTTTCAGTTTGAGAATTGCTGATTTTGTTCTCTTGTATTTCTAACTGTACATCTTTGCACTTTTCATTATAATCGTTTTGTCTTCTCAAGCTGCCCTTTAAAATCTCATCATTTCTCTTCGTTTCTTCACTGACTTTCATGATTGTTCATTCAAGAGGAAATTTCAGTCTTCTGGCATACCTTTTGATCTTTCCTTTCTTTCTTACCTTTTAATGCCCTTTTGCTTGTTTCATCTGTGTGCTGTTATCCTGTTCCTTTGTCACTAGTGTCTAGTACATCAGATCTGTTTGAAGATTGTAAATTAGATGGCAGATACTCAGGAGTATTTTGGCTCTTACAGACTAGTTTTCATTTTTTCCCGCTCTATTTAATAGTTGTTAGTTAATGGTCTCTTCCACCATCGACATCTGGCCTGGTTCTGACTGCTGCTAGTTCAGTCACATCACCATCGTCTCTTTCTTCTGATGTAGTCAATTTGATTTCTATGTGTCTTGGAAGGTAATAGTAGTACATATAGTCATTCTTTTGGATATTTACTCTTTAGAAGTCATTGATCTTGGAAACATTGTTAACATATTTTCCAACTATTGATTGTTTTTCTTTAGTTCAAACTTTCTACATTTCAGTCTTAAATAATCAGTGTATCATGAATTCATGTTTTAGACTATTTCAGTTTACAGAAGTTGGTAATAAAATCTTCAATTTCCTTACCTTTGGAAGTACGGTTGATGTTGGTATATAAATTGGAATAGTAGTTTTACTAGCCTGTTTTCTTTGTTAGGGATATGGGGATTGTCCTATCTTATAAAAAGAGAAAAACTAAAAAATACTGTTGTTGATTGCCTTTGAGTTGAGCACGACTCACGGCAACTCCATGAACAAAAGGCCTGAAGCCCCTCTACAACTGTCAACATTTATTAAGGTTCATAGAGTTTCTGGAAGCATGTTGTTGAGGAAGTGGATGCCACTCCTGCTTCCAAGCCTGTCATAGTATGTTATGTGCCATTGAGTCGCCTGCGATGTATAGCAGCTCTGTACCCTTCTCTGTCCTCAGCCAGTCTCACTAATTCTGACACATCAACCCTCAGCGCCCCAGTTACTGTACCAGTCCATCTCATCCAGGGGTCTTTCTCTCCTGTGCTGTCCGTCCACCCTTCTGAGCATGATATCCTTCTCTAATACTGATCTCTCCTGAACATCCAAATTAAGACAGTGTCGGAAAAAGGATTGACCATCCACTTCTGAAATATATCTGTCCTTTGACAAATTTCTGTACAGCAGAGCACACTTAAAGTAGACTAACAGTTATGATTTTTATTTGTAATATGTAATACTTTTTGTGCCTGAATAACTCATTTAATGGATATTTAGAGTTTTATTCGCCCCTTTTTTCCTTTTCATTTCAGTGATTCCAAATGACGTTGCAAGTAGCCCTGTGATTTTAGGAGGCCCACCGCCCAACGTGACCAACAGCTCTGGCATGCTGGCAGTCCCGAGACCAAATGTGTCAAGTAATTCTGAAATGCTTGGAGTCCGCCCATCCCTTGTTTCCAGTAATTCTGGGGTTATTGGTGCTCAGCCACCAAATATTCTGAATAACTCTGCGATTTTGGGACTACAGCCCCCGAGTGTGTCGAGTGGCTCAGGACTTTTGGGAGTGCTTCCTCCAAACATGCCTACGAACATGCCTGCTACTTCTGGACTTGTAGGAATACAGCCACCAAATGTTCCCAATCCCCCTGGACTCTTGGGAACACAGCCGCCACCTGGGCCTCAGAACTTACCCCCTCTAAGTATCCCTGCTCAAAGGATGCCTCCAATGCCAATGTTAGACATTCGTCCTGGAATGATTCCACAGGCCCCTGGACCCAGATTCCCTTTAATCCAGCCTGGAATTCCACCTCACCGGGGGCTCCCTCCCCCCTCAGTACTCGAGCCAGCCCTTCACCCACCACCTCGTGGTCCTTTTCCTCCAGGAGATCTTTTTGGTCATCCTGAAAGACCTTTCCTGGCTCCTGGAAGGCAAGGTGTTGACAGCGTTCCTAATCCAGACAAAAGGCTGCCGCTTGGGAACGAGAACATTCAACAAGAAGGTGATCGAGATTACCGCTTTCCTCCTCTGGAAGCTAGAGAAAACATCAGCATGCCTCCTCCGGTGGCTGTTAGGGAAGTTGTCGGGCGGCCTGTCGACCCTCGTGAAGGCCCTGGAAGGCCTCCGTTAGATGGTAGGGACCACTTTGGAAGACCTCCTGTAGATATAAGGGAGAACCTCGTGAGGCCAGGTGTAGATCATATTGGTCGAAGAGACCATTTTGGCTTTAATCCTGAGAAGCCCTGGGGCCATAGAGGAGATTTTGATGAGAGAGAGCATCGTGGTCTCCATGTCTTTGGTGGTCCCAAAGGTTTACATGAAGAGAGAGGCCGATTTCGGCCTGGAAACTATAGATTTGATCCTAGAGGTGGTCCTTGGAACAGAGGATTTGGACAAGAAGTTCACAGAGATTTTGATGACCGCAGAAGACCCTGGGAGAGGCAGAGGGATAGGGATGACAGAGATTTTGATTTCTGCAGAGAAATTAATGGAAATCGACTTGGAAGAGACAGAATTCCCAACACCTGGGTCCCACCTCCCCATGCTCGAGTTTTTGATTACTTTGAAGGGGCCGCTTCTCAACGAAAAGGGGATAATGTGCCTCAGGTTAATGGTGAAAATACAGAGAGACACGCTCAGCCACCACCTTTACCTGCACAGAATGATCCTGAACTTTACGATAAACTGGCATCTTCAAGTGAGATAAACAAGGAGAAGAGTGACACAGTTGCTGATATAGAAAGTGAACCAGTGGTAGAAAGCACAGAAACTGAGGGGACATAATCATCACTCAGTAGGTAAAAGATACGTTTTGTAAAGTTGTCATCTCGCTGTAATAGATTAATGGCTGACTGGACCATAGGTGTTCACTTTTGTCTGCCAGAATTAAGTTAATCTGATGTTCATGTTCACCTTTCTCTTAAAATAATTGTACAACTGACTTGTATAGACATTGTTCTTATTATGAACATGGTAGGTAAACTTTTTTTTTTATTTTTCTGGTAAACTATAAATATTGCCCCAGATTCTTTTAACTTCAAGGAAATGAATAACAGCTTGTCAGAGACTTCCTATGGAAGAATGTGGTTTTTAGATACTACTGCTAGGTTGGATATGGTAATAGATATATTTCAAAATAGCAAGTGGTGGTATATCTATCTTACCCATATCTTTAGGCTGCTGCAGAATTTTAAGGTAATAGACAAAGCTGTGATATTTTATGCAAAGACTGGCTCTAGATACTTTGAGGAGCACAATACAGAGATTGAAAAAAGTGGTTTTGTAAAATCTACACTGTGGTCTCTGTTTCTCCAAAGTAAGTGTCTGTGATTTGTTCCTCATACTGCAGTGAGTGAAAAAGAACAAAGAAAACGACAACAAATATTAAAATACCTTTCATTGTTGGGTGAGTTTTGTTTTTAGATGCCAATAAAACTTATTTGTTTGATAACAGTGTTCTAGGAATTGTATTTTTTCAACCTACAAAGTCTTAAAACCTCGCATCAAAAGCAGCATGTGCTTAGTTGCCAAAGTTGACTGTTACTCCTAACGGCAACGAAGAACTCTGGTGGACAAGGCTTGGACTGTGATAGAAAAATCACGCAGTCGTGTTAGGTGTATGTGCCCTCTGTGCCTTAGTGCTGTGCGAGCCGTACGCAGGTTTCTGTTTCTCTGTATTTATCTTCATGCACGTAACAGAGAAAAATAGAAAATTGAGACCATTTAGATGATAAATTTTTTTTTCAACTTTGTAGAAAAATATAGAAATCGAGTCAACACTGCTCGTAGTATAGCCCGTGATCTTTATGAAGGTAAAACAGGAAGTCTTGCAGAGACAAACATTGGGAGCTGGCACTTCTTTTGCAATAGAGTCAAGCGTGAAGCCAGTCTTCACAGAAATGCTTGCCTTGTTTGGTGACACTTGATTTTCTCTTCTCCATAGAGAACAAGCACTCAGGTATTTAATGTTCATTTGTCTGAAGTGAATTTCAGAAGTGCAGAATTAATTAAACCAAATGTTTGTCGATAGAAAATCCCTGTATCTGACATGCACAGTTTCTATGACCTTTTTGAGCAAGCGCTGGTGATGCTGTGCAGATTAGCCAGTACGGTTGAGGGAGCAGCAGAAATATGGGGGGTAATTTCTGCTTTGTTTTTGCTTTATAGTTTTTATTTATTGGCTGTTTGCTTTCCCTCTGGGTTTTACATATATATGTGTGTTCATCGGCATTCTATTTTATGAGTATACATTTTGTTTTCTGTGTATTTGCTTTAAAATTCCAAAGCTACATTTATCAAGCTTCCAAAAAGTGCTAGAGCTCACCAGCTATTTAAAAATGGGATTTGTTTTGCTTGCTTCTAATGATCTAAAGTGTATCTCTGGTAGCCTAGTGATAAGAAGCTGTGCTGCATTCTCGAAGGAATGGAGTTCAAGTCCAGCAGCTGCTCTGCAGGGGAAGGATGGGCAGTCTCCTCTTGTGTGATTTACTGCCTCTGAAAACCTGCTGGAGGGTGAGCTATGGATCGGTTCCAACTCAACAGCACACAACAACAATAATCTAGAGAACTGTAAAACTTTTTTTTTTTGAGAACTGTAAAACTTTTTAAGTTTCATGGCCAAATAAAGTTTTATGTCTGTCAGGTCTGAATAGGGGTAGAACATAATCTAATCTTTGAAAAGTGGGTGAGACTAGCAAATTGGTATTTCTCTTTAATGTGATGCAATAAAATCACTAATTCAAGTTAGTATTGGATTTTTCTTAGGGTCAAGAAAGAGCATATTGGTATAAAGTATTAATACTTAAGAAGAATTCACCTTTCTTTAAGGAAATCAGACTGACTTAGATTTCTCTCAACTTGGTTGAATTTATTACTTTCTTGTTAAGTCACTTGTCTTTGGGTGAAGTAGAAATAAAGTGAGCAGTAATTTTTGCTCTGAGACTTCCTCATCGTCCACGCAGGGGTGCACTGGTTGGGGGTTGTAGTGATGAAAGGTCAGTTGTGATGAGGCTCTTTGGAAAGAGCCTTGGGAAAAAAAGACCAGTGTGTTCTGTCCCCATTTTGCCCTCTCTTGTTGAGTAAAACATCATTCTTCCTCACACTGGATTTCCATAGTGGAGATTAGCAGTCTACCTTTCCCCCCCTCAAGTGTTAGAGAGAAACGTGGTCCTATTTGATGAGTTTGACAGTGATCTTGTCACATTCCTGATGATTTTGATCATAGGTTGTTCACTAAACTGTTAGCAATTAGAAATAAACAAGGAGTAACCAGCCACTGTAATGAAATGCAGTAACTGCACTAGAGATGAAATCACTAAGCGTTTTCATTTGTAGCATGTTAGAAGCCCTTCTGCAGTGTGTCTAAGTAGGCATACCTGTAAATTTTGGAATGTAGTTTATTATGTCTAAATAGTCCTTAAACACTGGGTTCTGCTTGTAGCATTTCTGTTGTTGTGTACGGTCGAGTTGGAACCAACCCATAGCTGACCCTTGGGTGGGTTCTCAGAGGCAGTAAATCACACAAGAAGAGATTGCCCATCTTTCTCCTGGAACAACTGGTGGTTTCAAACCACATACCTTTGGGTTGGCAGCGCCGTTCCTTACCGCTAAACCACAAGAGCTCCCGATTTACAGGATGACATGCATATAGGTGTATGTAATAGACTTTGCTTCTTGGTAGATAAACTCTTCTGTTAAAAGTCTTTGCATTTCTGTATGTGGAGTGAACAAATACATAGATTTTCAATGAAAGATGAAAATAGTGTAAAATTATTTGAAACTCTAGAAATTACTTCATTTAACATTTAATTTGAAAAGGTTTTGTCTATTTTTTAAGATTTTATAGTCTTTATCACTTACTTTTGTCATGAGAGCTTTCACTTGTTTCATAAAATTTATTTACTATATTTCTTTTAGGAAACTTTGTGGCTGTAGTCTGTAGGAGGTTAGGCTGTCAACCGAAGGCTTAGCCTTTTGACAGGTCAGACCTCCCAGTGGTTCCCTAGGAGAGAGATGGGCGTCTCTTCCGTGTGATTGACAGCCTTGGAAACTCCAGCGGACTCCTCTGTGAGTCATTTCCAATTTGATGGCAGTAGGAGAGAATCCGAGGTTTCAGTTAGAGAAAAAGATTATAGCTTATGGAACCACATCTTTTATTTTGCTGGGTAGTAATTTTTGTTGAATTGAAAAGAAAAAGTTATACCTTTTCATTTCAAAGGACTCTTCTTTGGATACCTTTTTTATCATACATAAGAGTTCAGTTCTGTCACATGAGACTCACCTGATGGCATCCAACACTGATGACAAGATGCCATGAACTGACACACCACTTAAAAATACAAAAGGATCCCAACAACAGCTGCTAGTAACTGAGAGATTTCTCTGATTCAGTGCTGTGACAGTCTACAGAGTCAAAATCCTAGAAAGAGGATAGTGAAATTGATATTCAGTTTAACAGAATGCTTGCATTTTTTTTGCTATACAAGGGAGATTGTATTTTGAGTTCCTGTTGATCTAAACCTAATAAGTGAGTTAAAGATCATTTTCATTTTTTCTCACTGTATGTGTGTTTGATTGGCACTAAATTTTATGGACAAGACTATTTTAATATTGTACCCATTGTGCCTTCACCACTATTAATTACCATTTGTTATTTTTTTTAATGTTGACGTTTGTTTCAAATATGTAAAAGAAATGAAACATTAACATTTTCTCTTTAAAAATAAATATTACTTAATGAACGTGGAAGGAGAAATGAAGTATATTAATTTTTAAGGTCGGCAAAATGAAGTCCAAGTTAGGATTTAAGGGTTGGCGCTAGTATTTAAGCCTTTGGGCTGCCCCTGGTGTGAGTGCACTGGTCCCGCAGGGTGGAGGTTTAAAAATCAAATCTAGCAAAATTTTCTGAACTAGAGTATAAAAGTAGTGCCTGGATTAGCTTCTAAATCATAAATCCTCAATGTTGTAATACTTCAGCAGACAATTCTTGACTTGTTCATGTGTGATTTTTCTAGTAAATATATCTTGAAGTATGAGATCATAGATCAGTTAGTCTCTAAAAGTTTTAAATGTTACAACATTTTTTTAAGTTGTCACCCTCTAGCGGGTTTTCAGAGGAAGTAAATAGGATGGGATTGCCTTTGGAGCAGCTGGTAGCTTCAAACCCTGTGCCTTTGGATTGACAGTTCAGCATCTTGCCTCTAGGGTAAAAGGTTTAAAAAATGAGATTTATTTTCTGAATAAGATAAATTTAATGCCCTGGATGAATTTCTCTTGGGATTGGGGCTAAACCTTTAAATGGCACACACATATTGAAAACAGTTTGATATTCACCAACTCTGTGGTTCTCATCCAGAAAATGTGTGACAGAATCACCAGTAGAACTCTCTTCATATAATTGAAGTATGGTCACCAAAGATGTAAACTAATACAGGCAAGGGTGCCAAAGCTTCATTTCCCATACTTTGAATATATTGCTAGGAGAGGTTGAGAAAGATTGACATGGGGACTGCAACAATGGGCTCACGTGTATCAGAAATGGTAAGGATGGCACAGGATAGGACAGGGTTCAAGGCTGTTGTTCATAGGGTCACTGTTGGTCATACTTGACCTGCTACGCCTAAAAACAACAGGTTAATTTTGTGTGTGTGTTAAACACATAATTCCTTCTTTGTTGTATATATTTCTAAAAACCCTCATTTTAGTGAGACTAAGAATATATAGATATTTATTAAAACACATTTAGGATTTTTTAGGGAGTTCTGTATACAGAACAGATCATCTGGGAGGCTGGGCTCTATGAGGAGAAACGTGGCATCAGCATTGGAGGAAGACTCATCAACAATCTATGTTATGCAGATGACACAACCCTGCTTGCTGAAACGGAGGAAGACCTGAAGCGCTTGCTGCAGAGGGTCAAGGACGGCAGCCTTCAATATGGATTGAAGCTCAATATAAAAAAGACAAAAATTCTCACCACGGGATGAAAAATTCTCATGGATGGGGAGGAGATTGAGGTTATTAACAGCTTCAGTTTGCTTGGCTCTACAGTCAACACTCTTGATACCAGCAGCCAGGAAATCAAGAGACGAATTGGCAAAGTCGGCTGTCAGGGACCTCTCTAGAATACTGAAGCTCAACCGTGTCAGTCTGGAGACTAATATGCTCCTGATCCAGCCATAGTATTTGCAGTTGCTTGCTATGTGTCAGGGAGCTGGACAATGACTAGGGATGATGATAGAAGGAGAATTGATGCCATTGGGCTGTGGTGCTGGAGAAGTATTTTGAATATACCATGGACTGTCAGGAGAACAAACAGGTTCATCCTCGAGAGAGTAAGACCAGCCTTTTCCTTGGATACAAGGATTCTGAGGCTTCATCCGACATACTCTGGGCATGTGGTAAGGAGGGACTAGTCCTTAGAGAGGGATATCGTGCTTGAAGCGGTGGAGG